TAATTTTAGTAGAAACGGGGTCTCGCTCTTGCTCAGGCTGGTTTTGAACTCCTGAGCTCAAACAATCCGCCCGCCTCGGCCTCCCAGAGAGGTAGGATTACAGGCATGAGCCACCGCGCCCAGCCTGTCTGAATGCTTTTAAGTGAACTCGGCCATGAGGGGACACTAATACGCTTTGCTTCCATTCTGCTGACCTTATCACTCTGTCATACAGAATATCCATTTTTCAATTCCTCACTGCTTAACTGGACTGCACCAATTGAGTTATTTTTCTGCCTTGCCCCACCAGGGCTAGGAGGAGGGTGAGGCAAGAGCCATTCACTGACGCTCAGGTCTCAGATGTCAGCCCTGTGCTTGCCTCCACCCTGGCTGCCAGGCTCGTCCTCAAAATGACAGGCAGTGTAGGGTCCCCAAATTTTACCCAACAAAACTTTCCGGGTAGAAAATTTTCTATAAAGGCCTTTATTTCACCTGCAAGATGCCACAAGAGGAGGATGGCTTTATTCTACATGGAAGGAAAAAACTTTTCTCTGAAAAATGACAACTACATAATCAAGATTGCTAAATCATAACCAAAAAGTCCTGCCTTTTTAGATACCTTGAACTAGCAATTCTATCCTTATGAATTAATCTTGGCTTTAGTTCTTTTTCATACCTTGACTGAAATTCTCTGGGTTTACCACATCAAAGCTTCCGAGTCATTTATAACAACTTCCCCACAAGGAAAACATGACTAATTTTGTGGTACTATGAGGTCTGAAGGAAGGTTGGGCCCAGTGTTTAGGGGGACAGATGACAACTTTCCTAGCTGTCTTCCTCCTATGGTGTTTGGTTCACTACCAGAGCATTTGGGGTTCTGATTGTACCCCCTTCATCCCATCATTCTACTCAGATGGCTTCAAGGGACTTTTTGGCAGGGGTAGAGTAGAGGGAATGCATTCAGATGCTCACAGTCTGAAGATGGGTGATTCACAGAGGAAGTCCTTCTGACCCTATGCCCTCTGAGTGGCTGGAGCAGGGGGACAGGGGTCTGTACCTAGGGAGTGCTGCAGTGTGGGGAAGGAGCTGTTGGCAGGGACTGGGAGCCAGTTCCCCCAGGCTAAGGCTGCCATTAGACTGTTGGTCCTCCAGAATCCAGAAGGTCCCAAACCAGCAATCTGGGCTTGGAAAGGCTACAACTCATGTAGCACAAAAGCCCCTATAGTCTAGTGTGAGCATGAGGCTAGACCTCAAACCAGCAATGTGGTGGACCATGGCAGACTCACTAAATTATTAATAAGAAGTGAATCAGGCCGGGCGCAGTGGCTCACGCCTGTAATCCTAGCACTCTGGGAGGCCGAGGCGGGCGGATTGTTTGAGCTCAGGAGTTCGAGACCAGCCTGAGCAAGA